TAATGTGTTGCGGCATTTGCGTTTGTGTTGCGGCGTTTGCATTAAAGTAGAGTCCCGCGGTCATTTCCGTTGTGGCTTTTTTGGTTTGTTGTGGCTTTTTTTATGTGTTGTGGCTTTTTTATGTGTTGTGGCTTTTTAATGTGGTGCGGCATTTGCGTTTGTGTTGCGGCGTTTGCTTTAAAATAGAGTCCAGCGGTCACTTCCGTTGTGGCTTTTTAATGTGTTGTGGCTTTTTAATGTGTTGTGGCTTTTTTGGTGTATTGTGGCTTTTTGATGTGTTGTGGCTTTTTTAATGTGTTGTGGCTTTTTAATGTGTTGTGGCATTTGCGTTTATGTTGTGACGTTTGTATTTGTTGCGGCGTTTGCATTAAAATAGAGTCCCGCGGTCATTTCTGTTGTGGCTTTTTTTTTTTTGGTTCGTTGTGGCTTTTTCTGATGTGCTGTCGCATTTGTATTCGTTGCGGTTCGTCGCGTTCGCTGTGACCCCTCTCGGCCTCCGTACTTTCTGACGCCGTCGCGGATAAAACGCTGTACACAGACACACATCCTCAACACTGTACCTTCTTCTCCCTCTTCTTCTCCCTCCTCTTCTCCCTCTCCTGTCAGAATGATTGATCGGACCCCGCTCCGCCTGTGTCCTGCATTAGCCCAACAAATGATGTGCCCCTCTCCGGCAGACCTTGGCCGCAGCAAAATCAATATTTCACCATTAAAATCTATCAGAGCGGAGTCGGGGCCCGGAGCTGTCAGCCGCGCGACGCTATCTGGCCGTAACAGCATTAAAAGTGACACCTCCCGCTCGGGCTAATCAATACCGGCCGCTTCACAGATCATTTGTGGTCACCTTTTAGCGCGAGATGGATGTCCCCGCGGCCGTGATTCATGCCGTGACGAGGTCGGTCGGAGCGCCGGGCCCGGACCCTCATCCCTCAGCGAGCGCGGAAGAGGAAGAAGAAGAAGAAGAAGAAGAGGAGCAGAGAGCGGCTTTTATGGGTTTAGTGCGGAGAACATGAAGGTCACGTGGTTTACGGGAGTTTGAGGATAATACTCCCTACAACTGCGCAACAAGTCGGCTTTATGTAACAGATAATATAATACCTCCCTACATCTATGCAAAGCACTTTAGGTAACAGATAATACTCCCTACAACTGTACAATTCACAATTATGTAACTGATAATACTCCCTACAACTGTACAACTCACGAATATGTAACAAATAATACTCCCTACAACTGTAAACTCACGGTTATGTAACAGATAATACTCCCTACAACTGTACAACAACTCACCCTTATGTAATAAATAATACTCCCTACAACTGTACAAAAACTTACTCTTATGTGACAGATAATACTCCCTACAACTGTACAAGTCATCCTGATGTAACACATAATACTCCCTACAACTGTACAACAACTCAGCTTTATGTAACAAATAATATAATACTCCCTACTACTATACAACTCACCCTTATGTGACAGATAATACTCCCTACAACTGTACAACAACTCACCCTTATGTGACAGATAATACTCCCTACAACTGTACAAAAACTCATCCTTATGTGACAGATAATACTCCCTACAACTGTACAAAAACTCATCCTTATGTAACAGATAATACTCCCTACAACTGTACAACAACTCACCCTCATGTAACAGATAATACTCCCTACAACTGTACAACAACTCACCCTTATGTGACAGATAATACTCCCTACAACTGTACAACAACTCACCCTTATGTGACAGATAATACTCCCTACAACTGTACAAAAACTCATCCTTATGTGACAGATAATACTCCCTACAACTGTACAAAAACTCATCCTTATGTAACAGATAATACTCCCTACAACTGTACAACAACTCAGCTTTATGTAACAAATAATATAATACTCCCTACTACTGTACAACTCACCGTTATGTGACAGATAATACTCCCTACAACTGTACAAAAACTCATCCTTATGTGACAGATAATACTCCCTACAACAGATAATACTCCCTACAACTGTACAACCACTCACCCTTATGCAACATGTAATACTCCCTACAACTGTACAAAAATTCACTCTTATGTGACAGATAATACTCCCTACAACTGTACAACAACTCACCCTCTTTCTTTGCCTCTAATGTTCCGCAGTAGGGCATTAAACATATCTTTCTTGCATTTCTCCAGTTACAGGTGTTTTCTCAAAAATACCTTAAAAAACACAAATTCTTACCCTGTTCAGGCTCGCTTCTCCACAGATCTGACCATTATCCTTCTTCATTGTGATTGCCAAGTTTATTTTCACACTGAGGGATATTTTAAGCATAACAATAATATCTCCATGGAGACAAGGTCAGACCCTCCATCAGAAAAAAACAAAACATTATTCTTGCCTTAGGTGTAGGAGCATCCAAATGATTCACCACTTTGAGTTTATAAATGCTCTTCATAGTAGGCTACTAGCATGCTAACAGAGCACTTTTCCGCCTGACTCAGTTGTGACTGGAGTTTTGTTGACACACAAACAGCAGAGTTGTGCCGTCATCACAGAGCGTCTCTGGAGATGTGTGTGAAAAACAGAGTTTATTATGAAGCTCTGTTCCTGACAGAGACACTGACACTTTCACTGATGTGAAATGGATCAAACTGTGAAAACTTCTGCAGCTGCTGCTCAGACTCAGCGGCTAATCCACTCTTGTTCTACACTTGACGTTTGTGCGTTTGTCCGTTCTCGTTATGTCAGTGTTGGAGCGTGCATGTCACACCGAGGCCTTCAGTCGTGCTCCGTCTGAAACAATCCACTCCTCAATAATTATTTTATGTTCATAAAAGTGTCTTATTCTACAGAAACACTGAATAAAGAGCTAAGGAGATTCTGTGCACGGAGAAGAAGTGAGGAGAGGGGGGTGCTAAACCAGGACTAAACCAGAACTAAACCAGGACTGTTTGTCAGGACGGGCCCGAAGGTGCGCCCGCGTAGACTGTCGGGTGACCGCAGACAAAAGGACCGCGCAGGGGCCTGTGCTCCGCGCTGCACCGGGCTCAGTGCAGCTGTCGCCCAATCGCACTTTGCGGGACTCTCGCTTTTTCTTAAGTCCAAGATTAGTCCTGGTCTAGTCCTGATTTAGACCTGGTGTAGTCTTGGTTTAGACCTGGTTTAGTCCTGGTTATTTTTTTATTGAACCGTATTGAATAATTTTGAAATATGTCGTATTGAATCGTATCGAATCGTAAAAACACTGTATCGAAATATGTATCGTATCGGCAACTTCTTAATGATACCAGCCCTAGTGATTGGTCAAATGTTTTAATATGAAAATCCATGTGTGGAAGCAGCACAAGCATCAGAAAAACTCTGACAGAAAGCGGACAGAACATTTGGAATTATTTAATAATAATATAATTAACATCAGTCTGTGATTCAGATATTTTTTTAGGTCAGCAGAGAAGGACCTGCAGACCCTGACGCTCTGCCGCTGCGTTATGTCATGACTCTGTCAGTGTGGAGTTTGTTGTTTGTGTGATGACCACAGCAGCTCTGTGAAATCACTGATGCACCTCGTCACAAACCTGGTGAGGAAGATGAATACTTCAATTAAATTGCAGAACTCACTTCAGAGCTGCACATGTCTGTGTGCTGTGATCCAGGTTACATCGAGCTGATAATAAAAAATTAGCTGGATCAAATATTGGTTCAGCAGATAATCGGGTTGGACAGTTTATCTGGTGTCATAATTTACATTTCAACCCAGAAACTCTCATGAACTTTTATTTACTCAAAGCTGTTTGGTTGATATCAGGTATTGGCAGATATAAGACTGAATAGATTAGGTGAGGTTTTTTGCAGATTTGAGAGGCAAGTCCCACATTTCACATTTCATTCATCCACATTATGTCCAATAAACACATATAAAAACACATTTACAAAATGAAGTGTTACAGAGCTCCGGTGCAGAGTAGGTTTGCTCCATAAACAATGAGTTAAATTCATCCATCACACTTGACCAAAATCACAATAAATATTAAATATAAAAACACGCAATTTTTCCAAGACAAACGTACAAAAATGGATATATAAATAGTTTACAGTTTATTCATAAGTACGATAGTGGCTGGAACTTTCTAGATCTTGGGACTAAAAGCATCTGACTGGAGGGAAGCACCTGAAACTCTGAATCCGAATATAGATATATATAAAATAGTTAATGCCAACTTACTGAGCCTCACATTTGTCATGCAAAAGGATAAGTTATAGTAGACATCCTAGTATACTGTATGTTATATTATCGTTTAAAAAATTATATTTATATATTTTCATGTTTTACTCACCATCTATCTGTGTCATTCAGCAGGAGGAGGGAGAAATCCAGAGAATGAGACTGAAAAGACCTGAGGCCAACCTGAGATTTTTATTTTTACACATAGTTTCACATTCGCAAGTAACATACATGAACATTCACGCAGACAGTGGATCCCTCTTTTCTACATCACTTGAGGAAAAACTAAAATTAAAACACAACACTACCCATGCCAGTCCATCTTTCCCACAATCAGGGAATAATTTAGCTCCATAAAATGCTTTTTTTTCTTCTTCTTTTTTTTTTTTTTTTTTTTTTTTTAAAAAGAGCATTTTGAGCTTTTGAGCACCAGGTTCCAAATATGTTCATGTACATATCTATGTTTTTGTTATTGTTTTTGAATTTTTGTTGCACCTGGCTCAAACAAACAAACAAACAAACAAAAACAAATAAATAAATAAATTTGTCTCCAGTTTTACTTCATGCTCATGACATAAAAAGCAAAGTAAACTAAAATAACAAAACAATTATTATTATTATTATTATTATTATTATTATTATTATTATGTTTTTTATTTTTATTTTATTTATTTATTTATTCATTCATTCATTCATTCAAATACGGAGATCTGGCGTGAAGAACGTCACCTTCTGCAACGCGGCTACGTCACCGCTCCTCCGCGCTCTGATTGGCCGCGCGGCGCCTCAGCTTATACTACCGGAAGCCGCTTCATTGGCGCAGAAAAACGGGTCTTATCGGGATCATTTTGTGTTTTTTCGGAGCCGTCTGACTTCGAAAACGCTGGAAATGTATAAACGAACGAGCGGAGGCTTTGTGTTAGTTTAAGGTGAGTGTTTTCATAGAGAAAGAGGTGAGAATAGCGGTGATCTTTGAGTGAAGCTAACGACAAAGCTAGCCTAATATGTTTGATAATGAAGAAATCCCTCTGCTTCTGTTTATCTGTGTCATATCGGATCTACTCTCACATTTTGGCTTTCGGAATCATCTGTTTTGTTTTTTCTAAGTGTAAATGTTGGGAATTTACGTTAAGCTCACAAAGTAGAGTAGGTTAGTGCATGTTCTTTTTATACAACTCAGATAAATGTATTAAAAACACCGGGAACGTGTCATCAAACTTAACGTGACGATAAAAGAATCGTTTGTTTCAATATAAAACTGTAAATATGTAAGATAATACATTTAAAGGAGTTCTTTTTTTGGTATTGTGACTGCCCAGAATGTTCCACAGTATGACATTACATCATTCTGTCATCATGGAGACATGTCATAGGTCAGATCTGTGGAGCGGTGGCCCCACTCTAGAGCTGCTCGATTATGGAATGTATTGTTTTTAGTTATTCAGCATTTCTTTAAAAACCCCCCAAAACACTTTGTTATTGATAATTTACGCAAAACTTTCAAATTGAAAATAAATATAAGCTACAAATATGATTTAAATTATATTGTACACCGTTGTACACAGCTCACGTCTGGACTAATTATAAAAAAGCCAGTTTGCAAAGACTGCAGGTGTCTACTATGACGCTTTACGGAGCTTTTGAGGAGGCCACAATGGATGGGTGCAACTGAAATGTTTGTTACTGCTTGAGTGAAAACTTGCAAGCTGCCTTAAGAATTTTAATGTACAGTTTTATCTGCAGACTGAACAAATCAGACAATGAAATAATAATGTCACTCACAAATCGGAGTTTCAATGCAGTAAGATATAAGTCCAGTATGTGGAGACACTGGTGTGGTCGTCTTTTAAAAACATGAATGTTTATTGTTTTGTAATGTCACTGTCCTTGTCTGTTTTTAAATTGGACCATGAGTCTGGATTAAAGATGATGATGATGATGATGATGAACCTTAGAGCAGTTTTGCGATGTATAAAACATAAAATTAATCAAATGTACTTTGAACTTGAAATAAGGCGAAAAACATAAATGTATCCAAAATAAACTATATATCCAGCTGTTCTACAATCTCTGTATTTACAAAATTTAAGAAATATACGTATTTAAATAAAAAAAAAAAATCCCCCCAAAAAACTTGGGAGATCGTTTCACACACAAATCGAAATCGTGATCAAAATTAATTTAATTGCTCAGACTTACCCCACTCACAGTAAGAATGAAGGATTTACAAGGCATTTTTAGCAACATAAAGAGAAAAAAGGCTAAAGATGAGTAAGTTTAATGATGAGTAAGAACATGTGTAGTAGAGGCAAAGCAACAATCTCAGACAAGCGAGGGGTGGATAGTGGATACTCCCATCAGAAAAGTTACACAGTGTAGATTTAAGTGTAATGTTTGGCAATATCAAGCATTGATCAAATTAATTATTTGTTGATGCAAATTAACAAAATAGAGTTTAAAAAAGCTCATATTCATCATGGCATTAGTAGGGGAGTGTAAAAATATTGAAATATCGATATATGGTATCGTTTAATGTGATGATACAGTATCGATATTGCAGGTTGCTGTATTGATATATCACCGAGTATTTTTTGGTATATTTTACAAATATTTTTTTCTTACAGCTACAGTTTTGTTTCTTGTTTGAAGAAAAGAATCTCCTTTATTGACCTTTTCACTGTTTTGATGATTCATGTTTGTGTTTCATATGAACTTTGCACAAGAACTGGTTTAACAAAGACTTTTAGTGTCACACCCATGATTTTGCCTTATTGTTGCTGTTTTTTTAACCATATCAAATTGAAATATATCGTTGCGAATCGTAAGCTCACTGTATCGAGATCGTATCGTATCGGCAACTTCTGAATGATACCCAGCCTTAGTCATTATTTAAAGTCATACCGCGTAATTTAAGTAGACTAAAATAAATGTCTTTAGTAGATGTAACAACTGAAATATCGTGATGTTGAATTACAAGTCTTCCTGCAGCAACAGATAAAAAAAAACACAGAGGGAACTACATAGACCATGATCCTTTGCTCCATTTCAGTGCAGACGACATGAAGAAATAACAGTTCTAACACTTTTAAGTCTTAGTTCTTTGTATTAAGTCTGGTCAAGGCATTTTAAGAGGGCAGCCGCGGGGTCTTAAAAGTCTTAAAAAGGTAAAATTTCATATTCCGAAATTAAGGCCTTAAAAAGTCTTACATTATGTTGTTCAAGTCTTTATTTTGTTCACAAAGGTCTTAAATTTCAATAGCTTATTTTTTTGTTTACTCAACCGGGCTGCAGCGCAAATCATAAATGGAGGAAAACAAAAACAACAACAAAAAAACGTGCTTTATTTGTCTTGTTAGAATGTTATAAATAATTTTTTGGCCATTTTACAAGCAGTGCATATGACTATAAATGAGTTCTGAATGAGATTTTGTAATAAAAGTGTTTTTTGTTATTTAAAGCCGTGAGTAATGGTCATTATTAGAATTAGATCTGGTGTTTTTCGCTTGCATAATGGGTGACGTTGGTCTTAACTTTCATTCAAGTGGTCTTAAAAAGGTCTTAAAAAAGTCTTAAATTTGGGGTAGTTAAACCTGGGGATATTCTGTTTGAGAGGAAAATCCGCATATTCACAGTTTTGTTCACGGCACAAAATATCGCAATAAATATCGTAACATTAGATGTGTATCGTGAAAATATCGTACTGAGCGATTCGGATATTTGTTACATCTCTAATCATGAGCCTCCCCAACATATCCTGAGCTTTCCCACGATATCGCAATAAATATCGTACCGTGAGATTCATACCGTGACGATATCATATCATGCACTGAAAACCAATGAAAAACTTGTTCTTACTGTGAGCCGGCTTGCCTCTCCACAAACCTGTCTCTTATTTTGTCTGGAGTACCTCAACCTGCTCGTTTTCAAGTCATCAGATACACATTGAATTATGAATACATTTATCAGTTAACTTGATAAAAAGGGTAGATAATAATCGTTGGGGACATTTTATATAATCATGCTGATCTCCAACAAAAGATAATCACCATTGTATCACCAAAAAAGCTGCTTATCCACGATGACCTCCGCTGGATCTTGTTTTTTTTCCCATCTATAATAAAAGTATAATTATATAAAACTTGTTTAATCATGGAACTCATTCATAACTATTAAAATGATAATTATTCATGTCCGTAACATTTTTAAACCGTCAGCAGTTTTTTTCTCACCGTGTCTCTCGTGTGTCCAGCTCTGACATGAGGCTCTGACCTCCTCGGACCGTCTCTGCGCTCTGGGCCGAACCTGCGTCCTGAACCAATGTCCCTCACACTGACCGCCATGAGCGACAGCGCAGCGGGAGGAGAGCAGTGGGCGGGGCCAGGGCAGGCGCCACGGCAACCACGCGGCCCTTACATCTCCATCATCACCAACAGGTAAAGTCACTGACAACTGTAAGAGGGCTCAGATTACACTATGTTCAGGTCTGTGTTATTATGTAGTTTCCTCGTCACAAACGGACCTGGAGTTGTGTTTTCTTTCATTCACACTAAGGTCTGCAGTATCCAAATTTTGATACCGTTAAACTTTCTCAGGATTTTACCGGGGTATACAGTATTACCGTATGACCACAATGTTTTAGTGCGACTTTGGTAAACTACGAAACCGCACCACGATACAGTCTATATGTGGGTCCGGTCAAGCAGAAGTAAACAGCAAGGCCAAAAATTCAAGTTAATTCATCTGATATAAAAATGTATTGAACAGATACATATGTACTCTAGTTTATGAAACTGTTGACCTTTTTTCTATTCCATTTTTGGTTCTAAAGTTCCATACGTTTTAAACAGACCATGTATGAAACATGGAACAAAAATGATTTCCCAATTTCAAAGACCCAAAAATCATGTAAATAAATGGATGTATTTCATCATATCTTGTGTTATTCCATCTTTGAACTGTTGATGAAGGTACATGATTTTTCAAAAACAAAATGTATTTAAAATGATATAAATTTGCTTGGAAGGACTGACATATTTTATAGAAATAGTTTCCTTTCATTTTGAAGTAATATTAAAGTATTCAGAAGAAAAAAGCGACAAATGATGCAAAATCATGAATCTTCTACTTGTTTGTACAATTTTCCCTCCGTTACTTTTCCCTCCGTTACCATGACCTTTCTTAATAAAAAATCTCATGAGTCAAAAAGTAAGAGGTTTTTCAACCTAATCTTGTACCATATGGTAGAAAACTATATGAAGCAAATATTCAAACCAGTTTGTTAAGGATATGTAAGTGAGAACCAAGAGTTATCACTGTTTGGATTTATTGCCCAAAAAGTGCTGCATATTTCATTCCCTCCGTTATCGACATGAGTTTTTAAAATTTTTTGTCAACAACTTGAAAGAATATCACAGGTTTAACTTGACCCTGTTGGAGTGTAACTCTTTCCTACATTCTGATACTTTACTTATTTCAATAGTCCCTCTAGTTTCTGAATAAGAGACATTTGAATGTCAAAAATCTGCCCCTGTTTCCCTCAGTTACCGCTTGACCGGACCCATGTACGACCTGCAGACTTATAATCTCTGAGAAGTTTCACATGAAGCCATCTCCAACACGACAGAAACACAGAACAGACTCACCATCAGCAGCACATCCTCTGTCACAGAAAGAACACTCATATTCCACTGAGTCCTTTAGTTCGACAGAAGCTGAACTGCATCAGCGCACAAGGAAACAGCTGTTTTTATCAGAGCTTTATAGTTTATAATAGGGATGGGCATGATTAGTGGACTAATCGATAACTGATCATTAAGAATTTCGTCGATTATGTTCATTTCTAATCGACAAACCGAATGTAGGTTTCTGTGCGTAGATACGAAGCTGCGTCTGACAGCGCAAACACTGGAGTTGCGGCCTCACAGTCCCACGTTTGGGCTCTGGCTCCTCCTCAGAGATCACTGTACCGCTCAGTGAGTGTGTTTACGTGCACACCAGTGTCCCGGTTTCGTCATGGTGCATGTTTACGCAGTATCCTGGTTACTCCAACATAAAGAGCTGCGCGAAACCTGCACACGTCTGATCTCTGAAAACATCACGACACACAGAACAGACTCACCATCATCAGCACATCCTCTGTCACAGAAACAACACTCATAATCCACTGAGTCGTGTCCTTTAGTCCGACAGAAGCTGAACCGCATGAGTGCACTTGCCTTGTCATATTAAAGATGAGAGATATGAGAGGAGTTTGCATTCAGCTCTGTAACGACCTGAAACCCTCCCTTGCCCTGTTTGTGTAGGAGCACTAACCTCCTGATCCGCGGGCTGCTCCTCTTCTCGGTGGGCGTGTTCCTGGCTCTGGTCCTGAACCTCCTGCAGGTCCAGAGGAACGTGACCCTGTTCCCCCCGGACGTGATCAGCAGCATCTTCTCCTCGGCCTGGTGGGTCCCTCCCTGCTGCGGGACGGCCTCCGGTGAGACTCACACACTCACACTGTCTTTATTAGGATTTTATTTTGTTTTTTACTGTATTTTGCGCACTATAGGGCGCTCTGGATTATCAGGCGCACTGTCATTGAATGGTCTGTTTTCGAACTTTTTTCACATATAAACTGCACCGGACAATAAGGTGCATTAAACGAAACACAACAGATAAATAAGTCAGTCAAACTTTATTTAACACAATAACTCTCAACTTTGTTCAATTGTAATGTGTAAAAAGAATACTGCCTGAGACACTAAATTGTTAGAATATTCACAAAAACTCATAATTGTTCAAACAGTTGGGCGATTACAACGTCCAGTTCGCCCACATCCCTCTCGTCATGATCCGAGTCAGTGTGGTTACTGTTCCCTGGAGTTCAGTTCAGTGATGATTCTGGTCTTGGTGAAAGCTCGGACCACAGTTGATACTGATCCTTAGCCCGGGCGTCCACGATCCGTTGGCAGATGGTGGCGTAAGTGGCTCGGCGCTGTCTCTCTGTCTTGGTGAATGTGTGTTCTCCTTCTCTCATCCACTGCTCCCACACAGCTCACACTTTCACTTTATAACAGACTTGAGTTTAAAGTGGGCGTTGTGAGTGTGTCTCTTGACAGGTGCATTTTGATATTAAAAGGAATCACAGTCTGTATTACTCCTGATGCTCCTGACGACGGGAGCTGTGATGCTGCAAGTGGAGCGGCTTTGTAGTTTACTAAAGTCGTACCAAAACACCCCAATAAATTCATATATAAGGCGCTCTGGATTATAAGGAACGCACTTTTAACTGTGCCCTATAGTGCAGAAAATATGGTAATTTGAATTTTATTTTATTTTTATGTTTAATAACTTATTTGTTTTATTTGTTGAGCTGCACTGTGTAACTTTTTTGGTTGGGGGTCCATCGCCTTGTTTCCGTGGACATGTCATTGCTCTGCCTGGAATGTTCCACAGTTTGACATTAAACAGCTCTACCTTACATTTATTCAATCACAGGCGGTTTTAGAGCTCAAAAATACGTAGAAAAACAGACATTCTGACTGTGAGCGGGGTCGCCTCTCCACAGATCTGACCTGTAATGTGCCAGGAACACCTCCCCAGGGAAGCGTTCAGGAGGCATCCGGAACAGATGCCCTAGTCACCTCAACTGGCTCCTCTCAATGTTTTTTTTTTTTTTTCTCTACGTGTTTTTTGGAATTTTAAATTGAAATAAGCAAGTATTTATTAAGTATTTATATTTCCATCACTACATTTGAAGATAGTTTTTTTTTTTTTTTTATGGCTCGAGTTTGTTGTGGAGTTGAACCTCATCTCATAATGACTAATTAGTATCCGCATCAGTCCGACCACAACACCGTCTGCACGCTCAGCGGTCTATTTACCCACGATGCCGAGCAGCGGTCTCCAGAGAGCGTCTGTGTTCCCCCGAGGCTCCGCCCACATCAGCACTTCCTTCCTCTCCAGACACCGATCTGTAAACCTGTTACGCTCTCTTCTCTGGGGGAAGAAATTAAGAGTCATGAGAGACGATTATTATGAAGTCTGCCGCTGTTTGTGTCAACATTAAAGGGTTCATATTACCGTATTTTTCGGACTATAAATCACACTTTTTTTTCATGGTGTTGATCAGGGAAATAACAAAAAAAAAAAGGTGGAGAATGGAATAAATTAAGTAATGTTTAATTAACAGGAATGTAAAAGGTTAAATTAACAAAACATGTACAGAAAATAACCTAAACTAAGAAACAAAATAACAGGATTAACCTCTAACATCTATAAAAAAAATGAGTGATTAAACTAAGAGACACGCAACAAAACTAAAACACAAGTGTCCCAAAGTGAAACCACATAAACCCACAGACAGAATTGAGTGACAAAACAAAAAAGCACAAAGCAGAACTAAACTAAACAAGTGTCTCAGCTAGGGATGGGCATTCGATGAAATTTTCTTAATCGATTGTCGGAAGAATTAACGATCGATTATCGATTAATCATTAACGTTTTTATATTAAAATGACAGTCATTATTATTACTATCTGCACTACTAATCTGCATAAATAAATTCAACTTTACGACATATAAACATAACGACTCTAGAGCCACATCAGCCCATTTGACATTATAATGTGTTTAATTCAGTTTTGCGTAACTTTCACAGAAACGAAACTTAAAGCCGCATCGCTAATTTGTATAAACTCAGCGAAGATAAAACTACAGCTCTTGTGCACTGATGTGGTTCAACTTCTGTCAGATTAAAAGACACGACTCAGGTGAATACAGGTCAGTGTGACCAGATTTGCGTTTGTCAAAACCAGGACAGCGTACGGGGGGATGGAGGTGGGGACTCGTCATCCACATTGAGCGACTCTCACCTGGAAAAACTTTTTCACACTGGACACAGAAACATATGTGCTGCTTTATACACTGTGCACATGGACTCACACTTGTCCCGAACACAACGGAAAGTGTGAAATTTCTTGAACAAATCATCGTTAAATCCACATTTGTGCTTCGGTTCGTTACAGACTGACCCACTGTTTGTGTCTCGCTCCTTCTGATGCAGAGACACATGTACACACCTTTTTAGTCACACTACACACAGCAACCTGCATTCGGTTTGTTGATTAAAATGTACGTAATGGATGAAATTCTTAATGATCAATTATCGATTAATCAACTAATCATGCCCATCCCTAGTTTCAGCACAAACAAAGTCAGACACGTACTAGTACAAAAAAAAAAAAAGCACACACTGGCAAAAGAAACAGGGACAGGACAGGCCACAAGGAAGCACAGACCAAAACAAGGACATTTAAATGGTTTGTTTGTTTCCTGTGATTCTCACTGTGACTGCACAACCCAAATCTGATCAAATCTGAAACAAAACGAAAAAACAAAAAACAAACAAACAAACATACAAAACACACAAAACAAAAATCGTGATTTCACAAAAAAATCTGAATTGATCATTAAGCCCTGCAGTCTGAATGTAGCCATTATATATTAAAATTTTCACAGCCTTGAGAGGTTCTAGTCTTGTGTGTGAGTATCTGCTGCTCCTGTTCCTCCTGTACCACTGTCACTTGGCTCTACTGCGCATGTCTCCTGCAGAAAGAGCCTCTGTCCTGTCTGTATCATGTCAGTCGATCGCACCGTTACTTCTTCTGCACCACTGAACAATTTAGCCTTTAAACAAATTTATAAAGACAAAGACTGAGAAGACTGAACACAAATGCCCCAAAAAACAAAATCAGATTCTGCAGATTACAAACTGCAAGTCGTGAAATCTGCAGCTGAAAACGGAAATTGAGCAGGAGAAAGAAAGTTTGGAGTGAGAGAGAAACTTGTGACACTGGGAGGATGAACCATGAAACTTTCCTGAAGTCACTGGACGGATGGACAAAGCCTGGACTTCAGTGACACCGAAACCATCCTGTCGGGATTCAGAAAGACACTGAATAATTCTAACTGGAACTGATGCTGAGTCTGACGACAGCGACACAGAAGAGTTTGCGTCGCTCTGTTTACCTCCGGAGGTCGAGGCCGAGTTGTTCAGAAGTGACACCGAGGATGAAGAATTGAATGGATTTAGTGATTCTCAAACTGAAAACAATCTGTTCCACCTTGTGATGTCATGTGGTAATACAGGAAGTTCTCCACTGTGTTTTTAAACTTCATACACCTTCACTACAAAAAAACAGAGCATTTTTTTAATCTTTGGAGATAAAGACAGAATAATAATAAAGTGTTACACCAATGTGAATGAAACAAAACACAACACCAGGTTTGTTTTTGAGTCAATTTTGTGGTTTTATCGCTCCAAAAGACCTTGAAAAAGGCGTTCTGACTGTGAGCGCGGTCGCCTCTCAACAGATCTGACCTGTAACTTGGTCTGGTTTGGTCTCTATGAAGATAAAAAGGTTTAAAAACCACTTACCATCCACCCGCCCACCGGCGGGTGATTTTCCAATAAAAAATGTTCACTCTGTATATTTACCTTCATTATTGTTTTCACTACTGGCCATTCATCGTTTGAAAGCTTAATTTCTCAATAAAACAACCATATCATTCATTTTATGCCGTACAACGAGCCCAAAACGCTATAACTTAAAAATTCACATCATAAACAAAGAATAAGATACGCGTTTCTTACCTTTGAGCCGGTTCTGTCGGTCCAAAACGCGTTCAATCCATGAAAAGTTGTACTCAATAAGTCCATAATAATCCACAGAAAAACAATATCAAGTTGTTTTTTCCATAAAATAATTCCATGTGGGGAAATAATCCAGAAAATCGTCGTCCGTATGAGTGGATGAATCCGTGAATGAAAACTATATGTTGCCTTTCCGAGCCTTCTCCCGCTCTGACTTCCCTTTCTCTCCCGCTCTTGGGTACGCTTGTTTTCCTCACACCTCTTAGCTTCAAAATGAGACCCTCCCCGCTGTTGTCGGTGGCCGGGGTTTAGGTGGGACAAGCCGCTGAAGAAGCTAACGCACCCACGTACTTCCTGGCTTTACGCACGCGTCATCAGTTTGTTTACGGGAAATCTCTTCAGTCATTGGATCTTCCAGAAAGTGATTGACATATTGTTTTAGCCTATCACCAGAGCTTTCAAACATTGGGTGGGACATACAGTTACTCTTTGAAACCGGCGCTGTGTTTATAAGCGTAAGAGCGAGGGAGACAGGGAGCAGTGCGGGCGGTGCTATAGAAGGCAGATCTTCCACTTGGAGGACAATTTTGGCTACTTTTAGTTTTTTTTTCTTGAGAAAACATGCCTAAAGCTCAGAAGAATTAGTATTATAATAATAACAATTATTATTATTATTATATTATTATTATTATTATTATTATTATTTTGGCACAAATTTGGCAATCTTGTGCCGAATTGTCATTTTGTTTACACAAAGGCTCACAGCATCAAAACCCTTTGTCCTAGAGATCTGAAATTCTACACAGTTGTTGCCAACAACTTGAACAATGAGTGTAGTGAGTCACAAGTGCCTAGCATGAAGTATGACCAAGCTAAGGCCTTTATTTTTTTCAATTTTTTTTTCGAAGCAAAAAAATACAATGTTTAATTGACTGTACTGTAGGTTAGGCAGCACTCACAGTCTTCATGTACATATCTACAGGTTACTAGGTTTTCTTTTAATAAGCTATGGCATTTGGGTATGTAGTGCTATTGTGCACACGCCAAAATTAGGTGGATGATAACAGGTTAATACCATACAGCAAAACATTTCAGACAAGGTAATAGCATTTGACGGACCCTCCACTAGGAAAGTTACACCAGAAAAATGCACCTTTACTGAGCTTTTTGTTCCCGTCTTGACTCTTGTCTCCTGTTGTGTTTCAGCGCTGATCGGTCTGCTGTACCCGTGTATCGACAGTCGTCTGGGGGAGCCACACAAGTTCAAGCGGGAGTGGTCCAGTGTGATGCGCTGCGTGGCCGTTTTCGTCGGGATCAACCACGCGAGTGCCGTATCCTACAAACAAACAAACACGCTCACCTCCTCTCGCCTTTATATTATAAACAAAGTTAAAAATCCATATTGAACCACTCACAGTTATGTTATTGGTTAAATTATATTGAAATGTTACACAGTACATATTTTTAAAGGTTTTTTTTTTTTTCCTTAGGTGGAACTTGATTGTGGAATGAACCATATTAGCGATAATGTGTCCACTCCTCTTTCTTTAGTCCGTAGACCTTTTCTCTGTCTCTTACCCTCTTTATGTAACAGAACATTACTGCATTTGCTCCTTGAACAGCCGTTACATCAGAAGGTCGACTTTGCCAACAATGTGCAGCATTTAAAACTGCTTATAACACTTATTTTTCGTGTAGTCTGTATTAGAACAGAGTTTATAACACTTATTTTTAATTTAGTCTGCGCTGGAATAGAGCAAAGTATCATGGTCTGTGTAGTTCTGGGTTTTTTTTTGTTTTTTGGGGGGGAAAACCCAGACAGGATAGAGTACAGATTTTAATAAAATACACTCAGGTCATTATATTCAAGATTAGCTAAAGGTTGTAGAATTATTTTGCCACAATCCGTGTGTCTTTCGTTCATTTTCAATATAAAACCAAAAAAAATGATATAACAACTAGTTATGGGCATGATTAGTCGATTAATCGATAATTGATCATTAAGAATTTCATTGATTACGTTCATTTTAATCTACAAACCGAATGTATGTTTGTGTGTATCGCGACCAAACAGGTGTGTACATGTGTCTCTGCATCAGAAGGAGCGAGACACAAACAGTGGGTCAGTCTGTAACGAACCGAAGCACAAATGTGGATTTAACCAGGATTTGTACAAGAAATTCCACACTTTCCGTTGTGTTCGGGACAAGTGTGAGTCCATGTGCACAGTGTATAAAGCAGCACATATGTTTCTGTGTCCAGTGGGAAAAAGTTTTTCCAGGTGAGAGTCGCTCAATGTGGATGACGAGGCCCCGCCCCCCTCCCCCCGTACGCTGTCCTGGTTTTGACAAACGCAAATATAGTCACACTAACCTGTATTCACCTGAGTCATGTCTTTTAATCCAACAGAAGTTGAACCACATCAGCGACACAAGAGCTGGAGTTTTATCTTCGCTTAGTTTATGCAAATTAGAGATGCCGTTTTAAGTTTTGTTTCTGTGAGATTTGAACAAAACACATTATAATGTCAAACGGGCTGATGTGGCTCTAGAGTCGTTATGTTTATATGTCCTAAAGTTGAATTTATTTATGCAGATTAGTGCAGATAGTAATAATAATGATGATCATTTTAATATAAAAACATTAATGATTAATCAATTATCGATAATTCTTCCGACGATCGATTAAGAAAATTTCATCGAATGCCCATCCCTAATAACAACTGTTTTCTTCATTATTTGTCTCCAAAACCAAAATGAAAAAACAGATAACGATAAGTTTTTTCCATTTTCGATTTTGTGTTTAAATGAAAAATGGAAAAAACGGATAACAGCCGTTTCCCGTTTACGTGACTTTCGTGACTGCGATGCCAGATTTTGAGCTGCATACGGACTGAACCAGGACTGATCCAGGTCTGGGACCACACTGGGACCAGAGCAGGACCAGAGCCTCCGTGGGCTCCGAGCCTCAGCTTCGAACTCGGGCCGTGCGCTCTGAGCCTCCGGCTCTGGTCCCGGTCTGGTCCCGGTCTCAGTCCCGGTCTCAGTCCCGCTCTGGTCTCTGGTCCCACTCTGGTCCCGGACTTGGATCAGTCCTGGTTCAGTCCGTATGCATCGCAGTCACGGGAGTCACGTAAACGGGAAACGGCCGTTATCTGTTTTTTCCATTTTTCATTTAAACACAAAATCGAAAACTGAAAAAACTAATCATTATCTGTTTTTTCATTTTGGTTTCTTATTTATGGTTTTATATTGAAAAACGAATGAACGAATGATACACGGATTTGCCACTTTTGCCATTTTCTAAAGTTTAAAATTGAAATCACACTGGGGAATTCCACAACCTAGTAACAATGGTCTAAAACTCCTGTATGTACACAGAAATTTGATTTTAACAAATAAAAATAGAAGAAAACACCTTTTATTTTGTTGAAATCATGTTTAAAGGCGCGTTGTGTAACTTTTCTGATGTTACCGCTTTGTCAGGAATGTTTCACGGAATGTTTGAAGAAATGTAAAGTCGAGCTGTTTTAATGTCACACTGTGGAACCCAGTAAAATCCCGTTTGTTAAGTGAGACGTGCAGAAGACAAACAGACTGAGCTGCACTTTCTGGTTCTTGTGGTTTTACAGCAACATCACGTCTTGGTCTCTTTACAGTGGAAGGTGTTTCTTGGTGAACAGTTGGTGCCTTTCACTTTGGCGTTGACTTTTTAAATTCGTGAACAAGGTGGTGCTGATGTTTAATAATGTGGACCTTAACAACCAGTGTGCCTTATGGACTGTTGAGAGGAGCCTAACATTGAGGTTCTGGGCCTGTTGATGGTAAAAAAAATCATCACAGATCCATTGATTTTGGTTGGATTTTTATATTTTTTTCTGTGGAATGACTATACTGCTTGAAGAAAAGAATGGCATATTGGCTGATGTCAAAACCTGGGGGAATAGTTGATTGCCAATGAGGTAAAGATGAAAATATTGGAAAAAAGTGTAAAAATGCCTTATTTTTTGGCATTAAATTGAGCCAAAATCATGTAGAAATGTGTTTTATGAATATTTTTTTCACCACATGTGTTCTTTGCATCTGGAATGTATTTGTAGACAGCTTACCCAACCCACTGAGGATTTGAGGAAATGTTTCATTTTTCAAAGTTTTCTATCACAAAATGAAAGTTACCAACACTAAAATGGACACAATTTTTTTTCGCAATATTTCCGGAAGAACAGACCCTCCAATTATTTGTCCTCAGGGTCACAGTTAAAGGTTGTATAGAGGATTTTCCAAGGAACGAGAAATCCAGCGACTGTTTGTCCTTTTTCAAATGTTGCGCATGCGTGAAACCACCCCCCCTCCCCTACAGCTCCTACGTAGAAACGCCTCCTCCCTCCTCCTCTTTACGCCAGAAACAGGTTTGTTTACAGCCGGTGCTGCACATGACTTGTAAACAACTAACTACAGTGTTGGTTAGGCAAGATGGAGAAGTGAGGAGCGGGAGGAGGGGGTGTGCGGACATTTCGTTCGCGGACGAGAAGTGAGGAGCAGGGAGCAGGGAGAGGAGAGGGGAGTGGTGCGCGGAGATTTCGTGCCCGGAGAAGTGAGGAGCAGGAGGAAGAGTGGATCGGACAGCGGGGAGAGGAGCAGGAAAGGGGAGCAGAGAAGAGTGCGCGGAGATTCAGTGCGAATGAACTAGCTACAACACGCAGCAGCAAGCGGACTCTTTCTTTGCCTTGAAAATTACGTTTTCAGACATAGGATATCGCTTTCGTGTCCTGAAAAACGTTTGTCTAACTCTTGTAAATAAAGTACGTTTTCATAATAAGCAGAAGTTTCCTGTCCAGGAGTAATTTGTGGACCAGTGCGTCAGTCTTTAGACCCTGCGTCTGCTTTAGTCGCGCCATCGCTGGAATGAATCTCCAAGAATCACCTTAGTTTGGCTTCGCTGCTTTTCCCCTTGTCTTCTTCTTTCATCGACCTCAAAAACAGACTTTCTTTTGTGGCGAACTGCTCCTGGATTCTTGTCGCCATTGCAACAAACTTTGTGCGAACTGAGAGGAAGATATAGGTCAAAAAAAGCCGCTAAGAACTGTTGCGTTGGTGGAGTAAACAGCGTCTGTGCGTCTTGCGTCTGTGGACTGTGTGACAGTCGTACGTAAACCACGTACCGGCGGCGCGCAGGCAAGTCAGTTACACTAGAAACGTAGGGAGTTTGATTGACAGCCTGTCAGCTCACAGATAACGAGGCAGTGTCGTTATCTATTGGCAAATGTTTAGCCCCACCATGTCCAGAGTTGATGACTTTGTATTCTCTTTTTTTTGGTCATCATAATTACAAGGCGACTGCATCTATAATCTATCATTGACAACTTGAAACAAAAAAAATCCTCCATACAACCTTTAACAAAAAAAACACAAAAAGTATGGCAGGCGATGTCAGGTTCAACCCATTTTTGAGACTTTGGCTCCCTGACTATTTATATTTACATCCGTTTTTATCCCACCAGATTAAGTTCAAATTGGAGAATCGTCAAAGTAAAAAGCAAACTTGTACTTTAGCTCCTTGACCGTGTGTTACATCAGAAGGTGGACTTTGCCAACAACGTGCAGCTGTCCCTGACCCTGGCGGCGCTCTCCATCGGCCTGTGGTGGACCTTCGACCGTTCCCGCAGCGGCTTCGGCCTCGGCGTGACCATCGCTCTGCTCGCCACGCTCGCCACGCAGCTGCTCGTCTACAACGGCCTGTTCCAGTACGTCGATACAAAACTATAAGAGGATTTCCCGCTCCAGACGCTGTGTTTGAGTTTGTGTTGGAGTTGGGAAATGCGTGGCTGTGTCACTACTTTTCAAAACAACAAACTTTTCAAACATTAAAACAGAAGTAGTGTCCGTGACTGATGAGCGGTGCTGTTCTTTTCAGGTACACGTCTCCAGACTTCCTTTACATCCGCTCCTGGCTGCCTTGTATCTTCTTCGCTGGCGTCATCACCATGGGAAACATCGGACGGCAACTGGCTCTGGTGAAAATCTCAGCTATGTTCATGTTTTCTTTTTAATAATGTACAGTTCTTGTTAAAGGAGCTGCACCTGATTTTTACTCTCTCCTAAACGTGAAAAACAGAGCATTTGTTTATTTTAAATACCTTATGCATTCTGAGCACTCGAATTATTCGCCATGAGGAGTTTATAAACGCTTTTTCTAACATCCAGGAACCTGTTAACAACTATCATGTCAACAGTGCACTTCCTGACACAAGGAAAAAGGATGAAACGCTTTATAATTAGATGCAAACATTACACAGTGGTCTCATTTTGACCTCAAGAGTATAAACAATAATATATCACGCTGTTTTCTGATCCATGTTCTGATGTTATTTCCTCGTCACAAACAGACCTGGAGTTGTGTTTTGTTTCATTCACATGTTTAACACACACACCCTGCACATTTAGGCTCTTCTCTCAAACAGAAAACACTCTGTTCCACCTTGTGATGTCATGTGTTGGTACAGGAAGTGCTCCACAGTGTTTTTAAACTCCTCACACCTTCACTAGAAGCTTTAGGATTTCAGTCCTGGAGGAGCTGTTAACTTGAATCTACCGCTTCATGACATCATAAGGTGGAACAGAGCATTTCGAGCTGTGGAGATGTAGACATAATGATGTAGACCAGACATTCAAACTCAGGCCCAGGGGCCAAATTTGGCCCGCGATATAATTATATTTGACCCGTGAGATCATATCAAATATGTATTAAGAGTTAGAGCTTCCTATAGATCGGCTATAGAGACATTATTTAAAATTTAGTTATTATTATTTTATATTCTGCTTGTTCTGGATTCAGTGTTTAAGCAAAACTATTATTAAACATTGATTTGAATAAGAAAAGGTTTAACATTACATATCTCAAAAGAAGAGGAAACATGCAGATGTTGAAATTTTTCAGTAAATAGTTAGTTTGGCCCACGACTTAGTCTCAGTTTTTAATTTTAGCCTCTGTGAGTTTGAGTTTGACTCCTGATGTAGACAGACTAATAATAAAGATTTACTCAAACATTTGTGGATAAAACAAAACACAACTCCACATCTGTTTTTGAGAAGGTAGCAGCATTAGAACATGTCTTAAATCTCACAAGAAGCAATCTTGTGTAATACAGGACCTTTAATAAAAATAAAAAATACATAATAAAATAATTAAATATACATGTTTATGTAGATCAGGGGTCTCCAACCTGTAGCTCTCCACCTCACTCCATGTATCCTATTTTTCGGACTTTAAGGCACACAGGGTTTTTAAGACGCACTGTCGATTTTTGAGAAAATTAAAGGATTTTGCTCCTTATAGTCTGAAAAATACAGTAGCTCACCAAGGGATTTCTGAATTACACGTTGTGCTAAACTCAAATTTGATGAATTATATTTGTATTATTATTATAAATATATAATTTTGATACCTAACTGTGTGCACTAATACATGGATAATGGTTTATGTTTCAAAGGTTTTTAACTCTACCTTATCTATTACTGTTCCTCTTCTATTTACTTTTTGCTTTTTTTGCAACCTCTAAAATGAGTATCTTTCTTAATCCGTGTAACATTTGTTCATTTGTTTTTCAATATAAAACCAAAAATAAGAAAACAAAAAAGCAACTATTTTCTTCATTATTTTTCTCCAAAACCAAAATGAAAAAACAGATAATGATTCGTTTTTTCAGTTTTCGATTTTGTGTTGGAAAAAATGAATCACGACCGTTTCTCTTTTACGTGACTTAAACTGTGATGCCGGACTGAACCAGGTCCAGGATCAGACCGGGACCAGACCGGGACTCAGACTGGGACCTGACTGGGACCAGACTGGAACAAGATCGGGACTGAGACCGAGACCAGACCGGGACTGAAAACGGTTTAGTCCTGGTTCAGTCCTGGTTTAGTCCTGGTTTAGTCCTGGTTCAGTCCTGGTTCAGTCCTGGTTCAGTCCTGGTTCAGTCCTGGTTTAGTCCTGGTTTAGTCCTGGTTCAGTCCTGGTTCAGTCCTGGTTCAGTCCTGGTTCAGTCCTGGTTCAGTCCTGGTTTAGTCCTGGTTCAGTCCTGGTTCAGTCCTGGTTTAAGTCCTGGTTCAGTCCGTCGGGAAACGGTCGTGATTCGTTTTTTCCATTTTTCATTTAAACACAAAATCGAAAACTGAAAAAAAAACAAATCATTATCTGTTTTTTCATTTTGGTTTTGGAGAAAAATAATGAAGAAAATTGTTGTTTTTTCATTTTCTTATTTTTGGTTTTATTTTGAAAAACGTATGAACAAATGATACACAGGTTTTTCTTTTTTTTCTTTTTTGTTTTGTTAAATCTGATTGTCTTTTTTTTTTTTGTATCTCTCTCAGTACGAATACAAGTTCATCCAGGAGAAGACGCACCAGGACTGAGGCCGGACTCGGTTCATTTTCGTAAGACACTTTTTGACCTCGGAGTCCGACTCGGCTGCTCAGTACGGAACTCGGCATTTCCCAACTCTCAAGGAACAAGGAAATTGAATTCTTTGACTTTATTTGGGACCGAAAATCCAGACTTTTTGAGAAGCAGCTGTGGCTGGGTGAGACTGTCCAACAACTCAAACTTGAAACGTCTTCAGTATCAGCGCCTCAGGATAAAACGTACACTCTATAGTTTGCGTTCAACGTTCTACAATCTCAATAGTTTAAGTTCCGATGATTCTCTCACTTTTATTTTATTTTTTATTTGATTTGAGTAACACCTGTTGTAAATATAAATTATAGTTTTACACCAAGTTGTGAAGAAAAGTTGAAAACATGTTGAAAAAATGACAAGTCTGTTTTAGAGGTACGCTGCGTAACTTTTCGTTTGGGGGTCCGTCACCTTCTTGTTTCTATGGATACGTCATCGCTGTACCTGGAATGTTCCGCAGTGTGACGTTAAAGCGGCTCGACTCAACATTTATTCGATTACAGGTGCTTTTATAGCTCAGAAATACCGAGAAAAACTGACATTCTGGCCGTGAGCGGGGGTCGCCTCTGCGCAGATCTGACCTGTAACTTGGTCTGGAATGTTTCACGGTGTGGCGTTAAACCTTTCTGTGGTCATGGAGAACGTCTGCATGGAGAAAAAAGCAAAAACGGACCCTCCGCCAGAAAATTTACACAACGTACCTTGAGTTTCTTGATGACGTCACACTGGGAGAACTGTGTACAAAAGTTCACCACGATTTACACAAAAGAAACATGTTTTTATGATATTTTAAACATTATTTGAAAAAAAAATTACATGAGTAGGGATGCACCAATCCAGTTTTGTCAGTTCCAAAACTAATATCGATACTATGGCTTTAAAAATCTGATGATATCCAACCTCAACCGATTCCAGTCTAGGGACTAGGGTTGGACGGTGTTACAGTATTACAGACTGGTGAGAGCTGGTCTCAAAAAATAAATAAATAAATACTAGTACTTCAGCGATTTAGCAACATTTTGGCTTGAGGACACGTTTTACAGAAACGAAACTTAAAACGTTTATTCGATAATATTATAATTTATTGATCCCTAAATTAGTTTTCTCAGCTCAAATGAATGTGCGATTTTATTTTCAGTTTAATTATATCATGATTTAAATCTAATAGTGTCTATAATTTATTCTTTTAACTGCGTGAGGAGACGACGTTCGATTAGTTTCGTTCTGTTTCCACGTGACGCTCATAAGAGACCAAGACAAGACGGCAAGTCCGACCGCAAGAGAGCTGGTCCCCAAAAAACAAAAAAATACTAGTACTTCAACGATTTTGCAACATTTTGGCTTGAGGACACGTTTTACAGAAAACGTTTATTCGATTTGTAGGTGGATTTATAGCTCAGAAATACCTAGAAAAACTGACATTTTGGCAGTGAGCGAAGTCGCCTCTCGCCTCGTTAAACTTTTCTGTCATCGTGGAGAACAAACCAGGCCAAGAAATAACATCTGCATAGAGGAAAAAAAAAAAGCAAAAACTGACCCTCCGCCAGAAAATTTACACAACGTACCTTGATTTTCTTGATGACGTCACAGTGGGAGAACTGTGTACAAAAGTTTGGCCCGATTTACACAAAAGAAACACGTTTTTCGGATATTTTAAACATTATTTGCAAAAAATACATATTAGTAGTTTTTCAGTTCCAAAACTAATATCGATACTATTGTTTTAAAAATCTGACGATCCAACCTCAACCGATTCCAGTCTAGGGACTAGGGTTGGGCAGTATTACAGTATTACAGTATTACTGTATACCACGGTATCGAAAAGTAGTAACGGTGTCAGTTTCATCACCGTCATTAAAAATATCTACAGTGCATAACGACCTAATATAATATTATAATTTATTGATCCCTAAATTAGTTTTCTCAGCTCAAATGAATGCGATTTTATTTTCAGTTTAATTCTATCATGATTTAAATCTAATAGTGTCTATAATTTATTCTTTTAACTGCGTGAAGGGATGGGCATGATTAGTCGATAATTGATCATTAAGAATTTCGTCCATTACGTTCATTTTTAATCGACAAACCAAATGTAGGTCGCTGTGCGTAGCGTAGGGAGACCAAACGTCCGTTTTTCCCCGGACATGTCCGTTTTCCACGTCCTGTCTCGGCCGTCGGGGTTTTTTTTTTTTTTATAAAGTGATGCAAATGTTCGGGTTTTCATTTCCTTTCATTGGGACGTTAAACTGAGCGTCTCTCGTAGCGTCTGTAACTCAGAAGGAGCGAGACACAAACAGTGGGTCAGTCTGCAACACGCCGAAGCACAAATGTGTATTTAACGATGACTTGTACAAGAAATTCCCCGTTTTCCGTTCCGTTCGGGACAAGTTTGAGTCCATGTCCACAGTGTACAAAGCAGCACATATGTTTCGGTGTCCAGTGGTGGTGTCAGGGACCTCAAAGCACCAGGACACCAAAAAACATTAAAAAGTTTTTCCAGGTGAGAGTCGCTCAATGTGGATGACGAGGCCCCGCCCCCCTCCCCCCGTACGCTGTCCTGGTTTTGACAAACACAAATCTGGTCACACTAACCTGTATTCACCTGAGTCATGTCTTTTAATCTGACAGAAATTGAACCACATCAGCGACACGAGCAGTTTTTCTTCACTTAGTTTATGCAAATTAGCCATGTGGTTTTAAGTTTTGTTTCTGTGAGATTTGCGCAAAACTGAATTAAACACATTATAATGTCAAACGGGCTGATGTGGCTCTAGAGTCGTTACGGTTTATATGTCGTAATGTTTAATTTATTTATGCAGATTAGTAGCGCGGATAGTAATAATAATGATGATCATTTTAATCGATTGTTAATTCTCCCGACGATCGATTAAGAAAATTTAATGGAATGCCCATCCCTAGCACTTATACTTTTTTAATTTGTTACTTTCTACCACAGTGCGGATAAAACCAACAGTGAGGCCTGTGAAAAGACGCTCATTCTCGGAGCACATGGAAAATGCAGAGTAAACAAAGTCGGATTTAGCGCTCGCATCGACAGGTCCTCGACGTGGAAAGTACAGAGTGGTATCGGCTCGGTGGTTTGGTCCGAGTACTCGCCGATACCGAAACTGAAAAATATTTAGCGATATTTTGTCCCGCTCATACCTGCAAATCCGACGAGATGTGGACTTTGGAGAAAAGCTGCAAAACCTAAAACAAAAACGTTAAAGAAAATGACGTTTGGCTGTAATTCAAGAAGTGCTCCTCAGTGTTTTTAAAGTTATAGGATTTTTTTATACCAATCCAACCCATCATCCCTGTTGTTCAACTTTTATTATTTCCTAATTGTGGAAAACTAACTGTAAAGGTGCATTGCGTAACTTTTCTGCTCGTCTCCATGGTGATGTTATGACGATGTTTCCTGGGATGTTCCACAGTATGGCATTACACCAATATATCTTCGATTACGGGTGTTTTTCATTCTCAAAACTTTACTTTCTTTCTCAAAAAAAACGTAAAAACTTGTCACTGCGAGCCGGCCCACTCCTCCACAGACCTGACCTGTAACTCGCCCCGCTGGTGTGGGCCTCCTCGTCTCCATGGAGATACTTAAATTAAACGGCATACTGCGGAAACGGCAACGCATCTACATGGAATCAAGCAGGGTTAGGGTTAAAAAAGTCACGCAATGCGGCTTTAAATACAGATACTATTGTTACTGATATATGTCGTTCATTATGTCCTCATTTTTCTAAAATATTTTTCTGTTTTGACATGTTTTATCCTCTTTGTACTAGAGTTTTTCAAAAAAGGGACACGGATTTTCGCCAGTATGTTGTGTGGACCTGAAACTGTACTTTTTTGTTTTGTTTTAAATGTCTCTCAAAAAACACGCTTTCAGTTTTAAAAGAGGGGCTGCTTCATTTCCTTTAAACGTATTTCAGCTGTTCGACATTATTGGCCAGACGTGTCAAATAAAAGAAGAAATATACGGTATCAAAAAGTAAACAAAAAAGTCTTAAACGCATTACCGTATTTGTCGGACTATGAGGCGCAATATGAATAATGTTGAATTCTCTCGTCTATTTTCATACATAAGGTGCACCGGATTATAAGGAGCATTAAGGGGCCGTCCACACGACAACATTTTTTTTGGTAAAAACTGAGAAGTTTTTTTTTCGTTTTGGCCTTTCGTCCACACGGTGCCGGCGTTTTGGGGTGGGCGAAAACAGATCACAGGGTCCTCTGATGCAGCGAAGCCTGTGGCCCTCGAACTGGCCTCCACAGAGCCGCTCCTGTCGCCCGGCATCCGAGACACGCTGTTAGTACTAATGCTAACAACACACCGCAGATTACGCACACGGATTAATTACAAAGACTATGTTTACACTGAAGCGAATCCACGTTATCACCGTATCAGAAACGATCTGCGTCCAGACACTTTGTTTCTGTGTCCGCAGGCCTTCCCTATCCACACAGCTTTGAGCATATTTGTTTACGTTTTATAGAAACAAAACTTAAAGGTTGTATAGAGGATTTTTTTAAGAGAAATACAGTGACCGTCCTTGTGCGCGTTCAGAATTACTGTTGAAGTTTCCTGTCTAGAGGTAATTTATCGACCGACGCGTCAGTTTTTAGACCCTTCGTCTGTTTCATTCGCACCATCACTGGAAGGAATCTCCAAGAATCACCTCAGTTTAGCTTCGCTCCTTTTCTCCTTCTCTTCTTCTTTCAGCGACCTCAAAAATGGACTTTCTTTTGCGGCGAACTGGTCGTGGATTCTCGTCCACTGTCGTGACAAACTTTGTACGAAATGTGAGGAAGCGACAGTTTGAAAAAGCCTCTAAGAACCTCTACATAACACGTAATCCCCGCGCTTCGATGAGTCAGTTACACTAGGGAGTTTGATTGACAACCTAACAGCCAATAGAAAATGAGGGAGCCTCGTTTTCTATTGGCTGATGTTTATCTGGCCTCAACACGTCCACAGTTGATAGATTTTCATTCTTTTTTTTTTGGTCATCATAATTACAAAGCTGCTGCGTCTCTATAATGGTATTTTAATCTTTCATTGACAATTTGAAACAAAAAAAAAATCCTCCATACAACCTTTAAAACCGCATGGCTAATTAGCATAAACTAAGCATACAAAAAGAAAAGCTCGCTATTGTGCGCTGATGTGGTTGAGCTTCTGTCGGACTAAAGGACACGACTCAGTGGAATATGAGTGTTCTTTCTGTGACTTATGTTTAACTTTTGCAAAACAAAACGGTGATATTTATGGGATACATCTATAATCGGCTAAATTACCTTAAAGTTTAAAAAACCGTGATGAGATCTGCTTTATTAAATATTGTTACCATTGTAACAGCGCCACATACAGGTGTGACATGTGTATTATATCGTTTTCACTCAGTGCTCCGTTGTTGTGTGGACGTGAACATTTACTGATCCGGCACGTGTGTGGACGCAAATTTTTTTTCAACCCGCAAAGAAAAAAATCCAGGAGCGTTGTCGTGTAGACGTAGCCTAAGTCCAGGCGTCCAGGATCCACCGGCAGATCGTGGTGTAATTCGCCCGGCGTTGCCTCCCCGTCTTGGTGAATGTGGATTATGAATGTGAATGTGGGAGGATCATTTACGATTGTTTTTTTTATTTCCTATGAAAATGACTCAACTATCCATTGAGTAATAATGTGTTTAATGCAGCTTTGCGCACATTTGTTTACGTTTTACAGAAACAAAACTTAAAACCACATGACTCATTTGCATAAACTATAAGCGCTGAAAAAAAACAGTGATTTTGACAGATTTTTGAGCGCAGTGTACCACATAAAATCAGTTCGAGGTCAGTAAACACAACCAGAATTAATACATAAGGTGCACTGGATTTTATTTTTGAGAAAATTAAAGGATTTTAAATGCGCCTTATAGTCCGAAAAATACGGTACTGTGTTTGGAATCGGCGGAATCGAGGAAGTCCTGTGCGATGTCACGTAGTACTTGAAACTGGAGTCGACCGGAGGCAGCACACACAGTTTTTGACCATTTTTGTACACAAATATGCAACTTTACTTAATATTTTCTACTAAAATTGTGAAAAAAAAAGACGACGTAACTACATTATTATCAATATTGTTGTTATTATTATTAAAACACCATATACACCGTTTAGTAGCAAAAAAAAAGGTAATACCAGGTTCCCTTAACGTCTTAAAATGTCTTCTCTGTCTGGAATGTTTCACGGTGTGGCTTTAAACCTTTTCATCTTCACAGAAACCAAACCAGATCTGTGGAGAGGCGACGCCGCTCCCTGTCAGAATGCTGTTTTTCTACGTCTTTTTGAGCTATTAAACCACTTGTAATTGGATAAAAAATGTAAAGTGGAGCTGTTTAAAGTCACACTGCGGAACATTCCAGGCAGAGCTGTGACGGCGACGGACCCTCCACCAGAAAAGTTACACAATACACCTTTTTAAGTCGCAAAAAAAAGTTGATTTAGCACCGATTTGTCTTTAAAATACGTCAAAAATGCTGAAAAACGCACTATAGAACTGTACTGATACTTACGTTTATTTACAACAACTTTATAACAACGACGGTAATAAAACTTGTACCGACATAAGTTTTCTAGTATTAAAGGGTTTGAGTTGAGCACTTTTCTCCTCGTAGGGCCAGAGGTTCCGTGTCATGTCCAAGAACAGTATGTTTTTTGTATCTTCCTCTGTATTTCTGGTTCGTGTTGAATACAGTAAAAACAAAAAAAAAACAAAAAACACAAATGTACCAGATCTCAGCAAGCGAAAGCTGTTATTGTGTTATTACATTGTTATTAAAGCTCGGTTTGATAAGTTTGCTTCGGTTATTCGTGTGTTGTTACGTAAGATTTTAGGCATGTTTTAATGTTTCCTCATCACAATCGTCCAAATCTAAATCCACTTTATTTCTTTAGTGCGACGGAGTATAAGGCTCAGGTAAAAAAAAAAAATAAAAGAATGCTGGTGCTACGAGAATAAAGTCGTAACATTTCGACATTAAAGTTGTAATATTACGAGAATCAGGACTGAGAGGGAACAAAGACCAGGACCAGACCGGGACTGAGACCGGGAACAGGACCAGACCGGGACTGAGACCGGGAACAGGACCAGACCGGGACTAGACCAGGACTGAGACCGGGAACAAAGACCGGGAACAAAGACCGGGAACAGACTGGGACCGAGACCGGGACCGAGACCGGGAACAAAGACCGGGACCGAGACCGGGAACAAAGATCGGAACCAGACCGGGACCGAGACGGGGACCGAGACCGGGACCGAGACCGGGACTGAGACCGGGAACAAAGATCGGGACGAGACCGGGACCGAGACCGAGACCGGGAGACCGGGACTGAGACCGGGAACAGGACCAGACCGGGACCAGACCAGGACTGAGACCGGGAACAAAACCGGACTGAGACCGGGACCGAGACCGGGAACAAAGACCGGGAACAAAGATCGGGACCGAGACCGAGACCGAGAGACGGGGACCGGAGACCGAAACAAAGATGGGACCAGACCGAGACCGAGACCGAGACGGGAACAAAGACGGGAACAAGAGGGACAAAGATCGGGAGAGACCGGGACTGAGACGGGACTGAGACCGGGACCGAGACGGGACACGAGACCACCGGACCGGGACCGAGACCCAGACCGGGAAGGACCGGGAACAAAGACGGGAACCCCGGGACCACCGGGAAAAAGACCGGAACAAAGATGAGACCGGAGAGACCAGGGACCGAGACTGGGACTAGACCAGGACCAGACCGGGACCAGCCAGACCAGGACTGAGACCAGGACCAGACCGGGACCAGCCAGACCAGGACTGAGACCAGGACTGAGACCGGGAACGGGACTAGGACTGAGATCAGAACCAGACCAGGACTGAGACCGGGAACGGGACCAGGACTGAGACCAGGACCAGACCAGGAGTGAGACCGAGAATGGGACCAGGACTGAGACCAGGACCAGACCGGGACCAGCCAGACCAGGACTGAGACCGGGAATGGGACTAGGACTGAGATCAGAACCAGACCAGGACTGAGACCGGGAACGGGACCAGGATTGAGACCAGGACCAGACCGGGACTAGACCAGGACCGAGACCGGGAACGGGACTAGGACTGAGATCAGAACCAGACCAGGACTGAGACCGGGAGCAAAGACCGGGACTGAGGCCTGGACCAGACCGGACAAGACCGGGACTGAAAACGGTTTAGTCCAGGTTCAGTCCAGGCATCTCAGTTTAAGTCACATAAACGGGAAATGGTCATTTTCCGTTTTTTCCATTTTTCATTTAAACACAAAATCGAAAACTGAAAAAAATAATCATTATCTGTTTTTTCATTTTGGTTTTGGACACAAATAATGAATTAAGAAAAACAAACTTATTCCATTGGTGGATAATTTCACTTGTCAACTTGAATCGACTCAAATAAAGTCAAATGTTCTTAATTTAAGTCATTTTAACTCTCCTAGATTTTTTTTTTTTCTTCCAGTGTTGAACTTAAAAACCTCTCTGCTGTGAGTACTTTTACTTGTGTACTTTGTACTTTTATGCAGAGTGTGTAAAGGGTCGGGGGCAGGTCGACGGGGAGACGGTCATTCACCTTTGACCTCTTTGTGTTTCATAATGTTTGTGTTTGCGCTGTGTAACTTGTCGGTCGGGGCTCTGTCACCTGCTCGTTTCTATGGAGACGTCACTGCTCTGTCCGGAATGTTCCACAGTGTGACTTTAAACAGCTCGACTTTACTTTTATTCAATTACAGGTGGTTTTAGAGCTCAGAAATGCCAAGAAAAACAAACATTCTGACTGTGAGCGGGGTCGCCTCTCCACTGATCTGACCTGTAACTTGGTCTGGTTACACAGTTCCACAAAACACTTTTAATGAGTAAATTTTTATAGTAATAGAATTATTCTTAGACTAATATCAGTTTGACAAACACCAGGAAACACAACATCAAACGCACATTTCCTCAAAACTTTACAAGTGTGAGTCTGGTCATTTTTTTAACATATCTGCAGGACTAAACCAGGACTAAACCAGGACTAAACAGGACTAAACCAGAACTAAAACAGGACTGAACCAGGTCTGAAACGGGACTAAACCAGGACTAAAACAGGACTAAACCAGGATTAAAACAGGACTAAACCAGGACTAAAACAAGACTGAACCAGGACTAAAACAGGACTAAACCAGGATTAAAACAGGACTAAACCAGGACTAAAACAAGACTGAACCAGAACTAAACCAGGACTAAAACAGGACTGAACCAGGTCTGAAACGGGACTAAACCAGGACTAAAACAGGACTGAACCAGGACTAAAACAGGACTAAACCAGGATTAAAACAGGACTAAAACCAGGACTAAAACAAGACTGAACCAGGACTAAAACAGGACTAAACCAGGACTAAAACAGGACTAAACCAGGACTAAAACAGGACTAAACCAGGACTAAAACAAGACTGAACCAGGACTAAAACAGGACTAAACCAGGATTAAAACAGGACTAAACCAGGACTAAAACAAGACTGAACCAGGACTAAAACAGGACTAAAACAGGACTGAACCAGGTCTGAAACGGGACTAAAACAGGACTGAACCAGGACTGAACCAGGACTAAACCAGAACTGAACCAGGACTAAACCAGGACTAAACCAGAACTGAACCAGGACTAAACCAGGACTGAACCAGGACTAAAACCAGGACTAAAACCAGGACTAAAACAGGACTAAAACAGGACTGAACCAGGACTGAACCAGGACTGAACCAGGACTGAACCAGGACTAAACCAGGACTAAACCAGAACTGAACCAGGACTAAACAGGACTAAACCAGGACTAAACCAGAACTAAACCAGGACTAAAACCAGAACTGAACCAGGACTAAACCAGGACTAAACCAGGACTAGAACTAAACCAGGACTGAACCAGGACTAAAACCAGGACTAAAACCAGGACTAAAACAGGACTAAAACAGAACTGAACCAGGACTGAACCAGGACTAAACCAGGACAAAAACAAGACTAAACTAGGACTAAAACAGGACTGAACCGGAACTAAAACAAGGAATAAACCAGGACCAAACTAGGACTAAAAGAAGACTAAACCAGGACTAAAACCAGGACTAAACCAGGACTAAACCAGGACTAAAACAAGCCTAAACTAGGACTAAACTGGGACTAAACCAGGACTAAAACAGAACTAAACCAGGACTAAACCAGGACTTGGGGGCGGAGTTTATCACCTCGACGACGTCACGAATCTCTTTCCCTCGTTAAAAAAAAAAAAAATCCCCTCTGCACCACAGTCGACGAGGAGTCAGCGAGGAAAGAGAAACGATAAACCGGACGCGCTCGTCGTCACACGTTCTCTTCGCACGTTTGCTAATTAAGCGGCGGGAGTTAGCCAGCTAGCGCCGCTCGCTCCCGCCGCGCCGCTCGCTACGCTAATTTGGATTAATGCGTCCTGTCGCCGTCTCCGCCGCGCACACCCAGCCCGCTAACAAAGGTAATTAAGATGAAGAGTCGGGTTTTTTGGGGGGCCGCTTTTGTCCGCGCGTTTGGGCGAAGCTCCGGGATAAGGACGCGGTATCTCCTCGCCCGCGTACGAGGCAATTTGCTGTGTGAATGTTTTCGTTGGCGGCTAACTAGCAAGTAAAACAAAAGGCGTGGATGTGTCATAGGCGTAAGTGCTGCTGTGAGGAGCTCCACTCGCCGCCGCTAATGAATTCATTAATCTCTCCATTTATGGCTGACAAGTAATTATCTCCTCCGGCAGAACGAGGTCAACGGCGGCGGAGGAGCGGGAGCTGTCGGCCAATCAGAGCGCGCCGCACACACCTGGACGACGCCGTATAAGGGCATAGCAGGAAACTGGGCCAATGGCAAAAAGGACGGAGAGAAGAGAGCAGGAAGTTGGAATGTAGTCCTGGTTCAGTCCTGGGTTAGACCTGTTTCAGTCCTGGTTTAGTCCTGGTTCAGACCTGGTTTAATCCTGGTTTAGTCCTGGTTCAGACCTTGGTTCAGACCTGGTTTAATCCTGGTTTAGTCCTGGTTTAGTCCTGGTTCAGACCTGGTTTAGTCCTGTTCAGTCCTGGTTCAGTCCTGGTTCAGACCTTGGTTTAGTCCTGGTTCAGACCTGGTTTAATCCTGGTTCAGTCCTGGTTCAGACCTGGTTTAATCCTGGTTTAATCCTGGTTCAGACCTTGGTTCAGACCTGGTTTAATTCTGGTTTAGTCCTGATTTAGTCCTGTTTTAATCCTGGTTCAGTCTTGGTTTAGTCCTGGTTCAGTCCGTGTATCATTCGTTCATTCGTTTTTCAAAATAAAACCAAAAATAATAAAATGAAAAAAACAACAGTTTTCTTCATTATTTGTCTCCAAAACCAAAATGAAAAAACAGATAATGAATCATTTTTTTAGTTTTCGATTTTGTGTTTAAATGAAAAACGACCGTTTCCCGTTTACGTGACTCCCGTGACTGTGATGCCGAACATTTGCACCGCGTACGGACTGATCCTGGTGTGGGACCAGACCGGGACTGAGACCAAGACCAGGCCGGGACCAGACCGAGACTGAGACCAGGACTAGACCTGGACTGAGACCGAGACCAGGCCGAGACTGAGACCAGGACTAGACCAGGACTGAGACCGAGACCAGGCCGGGACCAGACAGGGACCAGACCGAGACCAGGACCAGACCTACACTGACACCACGACCAGACCGGGACCAGACCAGGACTGAGACCGAGACCAGGCCAGGACCAGACCGGGACTGAGACCAAGACCAGGCCGGGACCAGACCAGGACTGAGAC